AATGGTATTTGGTTTTCCTTTTACTCTACATTTTGGATATTTCAGAAAGAACTACGATTAGATTTCCTTTGCTATATTTTGGAACTTTTTGGCTTACTACCTGCGGCTGGGAACCTTTATAGTTTGATAATTTAATTTTTATTACCTAATGTACAAAAAATGGGTGATATATATATATATATATATTGAAAGCTTAAAAGTTGGAATTGGTGAATCATACGATAATAGATAAGTTACATATATGAATAATTTGACTCTATATCGAATTTCGAGACAGTTTATACTGTGAACTATTATGTTACTTTCATATTGGTTATACATTCACACGTAAGACATTTATATGTACTTATTTATGACTTAAATCCTTGGAATCACGATGATGTTGCGAGTTATTTTATGGTTCGAATAATAAAAGTAAATATATGAAGATTGTGGTTGGGGCATGGATTATTGAAATACTTAAAAATTTCATTGTTGTTCACTCTTTAAACTTGACATACATGTACACGATGTATTTGAGATGTCTAAATACTGTATGTGACGATTCATTTGAGACATATGGAGAATTCGCTCCTCTTCCTTGCACTATTTAAGCAACAAGTTTTCATTTATTTGGCAAATATATGTTGCATTGTTCGAACTTAAACATAAACAGGAAAACTGGTTTGATATGCATATGAAACAACAAAGTGGCCTAAAAATTCGAGATTTGGGTAAAGGCGATGATGCAAAGAATTTTCAGTCAGCATTTTCTTATAGTTGAAAACATAAAATCAATATTCAATTTGTAAGATGCCCTTTTCACTTCCTTAAGAGATATGGTGAACAGCAACAAATACTACACTTTTAAAAGTTCAGATACTACATCAATAAAATAACATATGTTATAACTGATAAGATAACATATACTATATTTATAGGGCGATGAGCACTATACTTACAAATACTACACCATAGACACTATACACTAGTTACTACAGATTCGATATTACACATATGTACATTACACCTTCACAGATTATTTACCAAATCTTATACACCAAATATTACACCTCATACACCACATATAAGCATACTTCACCTTTAATTGATAAGTTTAGATACTACATGCCACCTATTAGATAGCATACATAAGTATATCATACCTTTAATTGATAAATTCAGATATTATTTGGGTTCACTAATCAATTAAGTGACATAGTCTAGGGTTGCCCAACTTTAGGGGTGATTCGTTGGTGACTTCTGATTGATATTGATAGGTAAATTTTGATATTTCAGTAGCTTGTGGAATCGAGATAAAAGAGAAAAGAAGTCTAGTCCGAGCCTAACCCCAAATTAAAATCTTATATCCCACTTTCAATTTTCATATGTTTATCATTTAGTCTTTCTTTTATAATCTGCAAATGTTTATCTAATCTATTTATATTATGCAATTGCAATCTGTTTTGAAGCATCAATAGAATTTAACCAGGTACGTTTTTTATTTATTTAATTTCTTTACTTTCTTTATTGTATATTTCTTTTCTTTTTGTATTGTACCATACCTTTCTACATGTTTTTTGTTTTTTTTACTGTATTTTGTTAAATAGTTTTTTCTTTCTTTACTGCATTGTACTGTATACATTCGTCTGTACTTATGCTTTTAGTTATTACCTTTTTTTGGCATGTTTATACAATACCTTAGGATAGACCGCTCGAGGCATGGTTTTCTTTCATTTACTCTTTTCACGTAACGAGATTACAACGTGGTCGATTAACAATTCATCTCCCAGCAGCGGTCGAGACTACAACAGGTGGAAAGAGGAGTTTCAGTTGAACATCCGTAGACTTAAATAACATAACTATAGGACGTTGAGGTTGTTCATCTGGTATGACGTAAATTTTCATACACTATATTTTAGGACTTTTTTACGATTTTATATCATATGATATAAGTCCTAAACTTTTTCGGATTCTAAGGTCGTTGTTCGATACGACATAAATCCTGATATTTTCTCAGATCATTTGCATATGACATGCAGACATAAGTCCCGAATATCTAAATAAGTTGCAGGAGTAAAACATCAAATAATTTTCCTTTAAAAAATGTAAATTCAAATCATAGGTTAGGTAAAGATGTCACTGAAACTTCTTCGGTATCTTCGACATCTCCTACTTTTCACTCATTTGAATTCCGAAATAATTGTTTCACATTAAGTCATTTTCATTTGAATTTCCTATAAACAATCGTGGAAACATAAACGTTGAATTCTTAAAGATGAAATCCCAATCTTAATCGAGAGTTTTCTTAGGTGTCTTCAGTTGTCTAAGATGTAATTAACTAGAAGGGTTTGTCTCTATAGGGAATTAAGAACCCAGATTAATCTAAACTCTGTCTAATTTGTGCATTATATAGGGAAATTTGTCGGCTATAAATTTCGCAGACCAAAATAGAGTCATAAACTTTTAAGTTTAGATAGTTGACCATACCAATAAGTGATACATTCATCTTTTGAGATGATATATCATTTATGATATCGTGTTTAGTTATTTAAACTATTAGATACATGAGGTCTATCCGGTCTCATTATTTTCAAAAAATAAAAATATATCATTTTCACAAAATTACAATTACATTATATATTATATTAAATTTAAATTTAAAATTTTATTTTCAAAAAAAAAATAATTAGCCGACACCATCATTGAACCATCATGTAAGTTAAAGTAGGACATATTAATTAGTCATCAAAATTATGCAATTTAAATAAAATTAAGTAAGTTATGGCTTTAAAAAAATACAACATAACAATCATTAGATTTAAAATGACATTCCAACATGCAATTAAAGGCAAAATTTTAAGAAATTTTAAAGATGGATTGATAAATTAGAATATCTTTTTAAAAAATATAATATCCTTGATGCCCGAGTTGAATGTGCCATTTTATAACTATGATGAATTTTAGGATTATAAATAAGATAAATATAATACATTTGAATATTATGCAAGATTGATAGGTCTTCAAGCAATTATTATTTTTCTTTGAATTATTTTGTAACAATTATTTGTTTTAGTAAGGTCTAAAGTGAAAAAATAAGGAGTAAAAAAGTTATAATTCACCAAAAATATTGCATGTGACTTTATATATATAACTTTGAATGTCAATGAATACCGTTATAATTTTAATCAATCTATAATAAATGAGATTCATGTCTCTAAAAAAGTAGACATGCCTTGAAATCTACCACCTACAAAATAGCATAAGAATCATGCATGATAAAAGTTAATCCCACTGAAGAAACGATGGTTCATGAATATTAAATGGAAGATGCTTTAGATTTAAAAAAATGATTTGAAGTTACAACTTGATGCTATGCCTAATGAGGAAGAATCTGAAACTACACCAATAGTGAACCATGTTCATTAACTTGAATTGATAATTAAAAATCATAATTTTAATCTAAGCTTGAAGTTGAGCACATATATATACACACATATATATATATATATATATATAGATATCCAAACTTCTAATAGGAATTGAATTTATTTCCAAACTTAAAGATGAATTAAATAAGCAATCAAAACACATGAAGCACTCGATCCTAAGCAAATTATCGCTCAGATATCGTTCCCTAGAGAAAATGGAATAAAAACCAGCCAACGACAGACTTGATATACCACTGGTCAAAATATATTGCAATCCAAAAACCGAACCTGTAAGTAATAGATAAGGGCCAACTACTTGTATTTCTACACCAACATATCTTCCAACCACCCAATATGGAACTAAAACTAATGCCCTCACATGAATTAAAAACAATTGATAACAAGATCTCAATTCTAAAATATCAATAGTGATCCTTACCTATTAGCTTAAGCTTTTGGCTAAATATGTGCAAAATCCACTATCATACTGGGCTCAATTTGGGCCTTCAATATCCCTCCTAACAAGCAATATAAATAATGATGATATAGTTGGGATCGAATGCTCAACGTAGATTGTAGTATTCATAGAACTTGGAGGCATCTATCATGGCTAAACAAGGTTCGTGATCTAAAGTTGAGGAGTTTAACATTTTTCCTACAAAAAAAATGCACTGTGCTGACTTAATCGTGAGTCAACCTTTATTGTAAGATCACTTTAGTCATTCGAAGGGCGGTATAGAGCTTCCATCTCAAGGGTTCAAGTGTGGAGCCCCCAAGAGGTACCCAATTTTTGTGATTACTTTTAAGTATATTTAAAAAAGCAAATTATTATATTTTGATTGTCCGAATTTTTCTTTATAAAGAGTGAGACATTGTCTTATGAGAAAACTTCGAATTTTATTATCTATACAATCAAACTATAAGAAAATCTATAGCAATGGCAGTAAGACAGCTATTAATTGGATGAATTTGCATAAAATTCATAGAATTTTTGCATGTTGACTTCTTTTTTTATTTTACTTTTTCACTCTTCATTTTTTATAATAGGTTTTGCCTATTTACCAATGAAAAGAGGGTGAACCTCACATAAGCCCCACGTAACCGAGCTTGCTTTTGGTCCGTGACACTAGAAAATGTTGGAGAACTTGTACTTGAGAGAGGAATGGTGGTAAAGATGGAGAGTGGGAGATTGTTGAGATACATATAGATAAAAAAATAATTTACTTTCAAATGTGAAAATCATGGTTGAGCTACTAGTATGTTAATAGTGTACCTTACCTCATAGCTTGAACATTTCGGAAAATGTATATTCATATATTGGTGTATGGGACAAACCCTGAGGTCCCAATGTTTCAATCCACTAACAATCAAAACTCCTCCTAAAATAAGATAAGTTAAATTTAACCAACTATTCTATATTATGTGCTCGATTTTGTTCGCTATTTCTGGTAGTCATAAAACGATTCATCATTAACATCAAATACTGTTATAATCGACTCGTACATAACATGAAGTCACAGAAACTATTATTTGGAGAGTGAAATGCCGATTGAGATTAGAAAAGAGATAAGCCATTATGGATTCATATACCTAAGTGGCCAACGAAGGCAGTATCCACGAGAGAAGAAATTGGATCGGCAGCCAAAGCCAGCGCAGCCGGCAAAGCAATTGAAAGTATCTCCAACCCAACATCATCAAACCTAAATAATCATCACACAAATAGATCAAAATCCAACAAAAACGTTCACATTTTTTATCTATATCTATAACAAGTTGAAGTTTCGACTAACCTGATTCGAGCAAGAAGGCCCGAGATGGAGCCGAGCAGGGGGTAGCCGACAGACTTTTCCGCATGAGGCTCATCTCGATAAGCCTCCGTAGGGTCTTCCTTGGAAGAGCTAGAGTTATGTTGTGAGGAAGGAGAGGACAAACACGGCTGTCTCCGAAGAAGAAAACCTAATGAGGTAGAGTTCGTTCGGATTGACGAGAGTGAAAGGGTTGGTTGAAATGGCCATTTCTGGGTTGAGGGATAGGAGCAATGGATGACAGGCTGGAGAATGAGCACGGTACTTACCGCCATGACTGCGCATAAGAGAGAAAGAGAATCGTTTTCTTGTTTATTTACAGTGTGAAGATTGGCACTTTGGCGAGAAATATAGGCCATCAAAATACGAAGAAATATTAGTAATAAGCACCTTATTTTTGCATAGCCAATCAAAACACGTCACGACATCTCACGCGGCGGAGTAAGAAAAACGGCACAATAACACGGAGAATATTCCCTCGTATGTTATTCATGTGTTATTGCGCGTTATTCATGTGTTATTGCACGTTATTCATGTGTTATTGCATGTTATCTATGTGTTATTGATGTGTTATTGTGTTATTATAATACCAAGAATATTCTCAGGATACAATAACACATGAATAACACACAATAACACTTGAATAACACGGGAAATATTCCCAACAGAGAAAAAAACGGCGCAGTAACACGGAGGAATATTCTCTCCCGTGTTATTCTTGTGTTATTGTGTGTTATTCATGTGTTATTGTGTTATTATAACATCAGGAATATTCCCAGGATACAATAATACATGAATAACACACAATAACACGTGAATAACACGGGGGAGAATATTCTCTGTGTTACTGCGCCGTTTTTTTTTCTGCGTCGCGCGGGGTATCGTGGCGTGATTTCATTGGGTACGCACGTTACTCTACGTGCGTAGTACTGATGTAATATTTTTTCTCAAAATACAATTTTGTTGTGATTGAACATCTTATTTGTGTTATCTTTATGAAATAATTTTTCCACGCACCACTTTGATTCTAGATCATATCACACCTTCGGGTGGAGCTGTTGTGCCAGGTTGGTTTAATTGGGAGTTTCATTGTTAAATTCATTATTTTTGTTTATATATATATTTATAATCTTATGTAATGTTTTTAAAAAATTTATTTTGTAAAGTGTATGTTTTGCCCTGTCTTTCATGATTTTCTAATCTCGTTTCAGCTTTAAAACATTCAAGCACATGTTTAAAGTTTAGAGATATTTTAATCTTTAATAAATATATGTATTTTAAAAGTATGATAGCTAATACTTCTAATTTAGATATTGATGCACTAAGCATGTTCTAAATAAAATATTAATGTATTTAAATATTTAATAATAACAATGAAATCAGCTTTAGAAGGTCATAGTATATGGAATATGTTGACAGAGCCTTAAATAGCTCCGACTCTTGTATGATTTAGGGTGATATAAATAAAAAATTTTAGATTAGTTCAAAATTAATCCGGATTTTTATGGTGGATTTCACTTAATGTTCTCATAATTTCAGGAGTTAATTTTAGAATTAATGTCACTTTTGTAATAAAAAAATTAATATTTAGTAAAAAATAGCAATTAATTAAAAAAATCACAAACTATTTTAGGAAATATTCTTAAATTCTCCTTTGATTTTAGAAAAAAAAAATTCATGAAGTTTAGAGTTGGCTAAGTCACCCAAATAAATTATCAAACAAAATGGAATTATTCTTAATATAATAATTCATTAATTAAACTTGAAACTTTAAAAATTTATATAAAATAAATAGAGATAAAAAAGTTATTAAGATTTACTCAGAAAATCTTGAGAATCTCCCAAACCCCTTTGCATTTCTTTTTTAGCTGACCCTAGAAATAGTTTTTATTAGGTGTTGCGGGTTTTGAAAGCCCACACGAGAAGGGTTTAACCGACCATGCAGTACTGACTGGAGCAATCAATTGTCCATCACCAGATGATATGATTGGTCGAACGATCCCGGTTAGCCTGACCATACGCCTTTAGAACAGCCAACTTTGTTGTGTCGTCGTAGATGTTTGGCCGCCTGCATTAGGCACGTTGGTCGACCGACACTAGTTGGCATGGTCGTATGTCTATTGATTGATCAATTATCTTCTAGAGGAAGCCCTAGGTTATGAATCACATGTGTGACTAATCCCTTGCGAAGTTGAGTATTTTTTTTTTTTTTGCGATAAGCTTTAAACCTAACCTAAGCGGGTCAAAAACCCAACTTCCCCCTTACTTTGTCATTCCCAACCCTCTTTGAAAGGGTTGGGATATTCCGATCATTTGAGGTGAAAAAAACTTCGTAGTTAGCTCACCTTACAAAATTATGAGGAGTTTTGAAATGGGAAAAGATTTGTAGCTAGTCTGTTCCACAATATTGTGGAAAGTTTTCTTTTGAAAATCCAATGGTGAAGCTCCCCACATGCCTCATCAAAGTAAAAGGCAGCTATGTCGCATATCCATGTGTTAAACCATAGGTGTGACGTGTCTATGTGAGAGCGTCAGATGAGTGTGACTCGTTATCGATTGTGATCATTCACATTACATGACGTATTGTGTTAGGATATGTGTTTTGCATGAGGCATGTCACACTTGTATATTGTCTTGACTGACTGCCATGACTCGATTTGCATAGCACGTTGCCTCAACCGACCACCCCTTCTAGGGTCAGCATAACACATTGCCTTAACTAGCTATCCTGGCCTAGTCGGCATAGCACTTTGACTTGACCAACTGCCCCGACCCGATCAACACTAAACTCTGCCTCGACCGGCTGTCGTAGCCCGACCGGCATAGCACATTGCCTTTATTGGCCGCTCCAGTTATTTGACATGGCACTTTGTCTCGACCGGTCGCCCTGGTCGGCACTATACTTTGCCTCGACCGGTCACCCTAACCTAGATGGCAGGCCACCCCAGCTTGATTGGCATAGCACATTACCTCGATCAACACTCTGAACCAGTCAGCATAGCACAGCAGCTCAAGCAGTTCCCCTGACAAGGTCAACCTTGCAATTTGGCTTGATCGGTCGCCCCAACCCTATTGGCTGACTACTTGGGTTTGACCGGCCGACCCGACCCAGTCGACCGATCAGCCGCTCCGTCCCAGACGACCGATCATTTTGGTTCGACTGCCCCCCCCCCTCCTCGACAACTTATGTCCAACATGTGCATTAATGTTGATTGTATGAGCTTGCATTAGCACATCCATAACTTGTGCCCTTGTTGTGCATCCTCAGATATATGCCCACATATGGTTGTGACGAGTACTTGTACCTCCAAATGGCACACTACTCTACATTTACTTCATGGCATCTTCATGTCATTTAGCACGTCACAAGTGGTTTGAACTTATGCTTGAAGCACTTTTACATGTTTGTCTTGCGTGGCATTTCACATGCTCATGACTCGCATGCTTTAGTTTGTTTGCACTCAGATTTGTGTTTCTCACGTGCTTATTCCTCATGGTCACACATCATGTGAACGGGAGGATCATCACTGATTCAATTCATTATGTAATTCTCTCCAATAGTAATTACATCCCTACCTTCCTACGACACCGCTTTGGACCGTCGTAGGCACACCCTTTGAGCTACTGCCTCTATGACATACCCATATGTAAGGCCAAATCTTTTAAGATCCATCTTGGGCGACATTCTTTAGATCCCTTGGATATTTAGGATGGGGTCGAAGTGGCAACCTCGTGAAAGTCATACATACTTGGAGACTTACCTTGTGCACTTATATGCTAGTTAGAACACTTCTTGCAAGATGGTGTGTTAGGTTGGGACTAGGGTGCTAGGTAGTGTTTTCAACATCTTTGGCTATTGTTCTTTGCTAGCTTATTTGTTCTAACCATGCATAACTTTTGTGCTTTTTGTTGTGCTTGTGCATGTCTGTTTTGATGTGCATGGTAGTATATTAGAGCAATCTTCTGTAGAGGTCGTGTCATATATATGCACACACACACACACATACAATAAAAATGGGGAGCATGTCGGCACTATTTTTGGTGTGGGGTTTGCCCGTAAGAAGTTGTCGGTCATCGGAATTGAAATCCTGTTGCTCGCTTCGAAAGGACGTTTTTTTTAAAAATTTTAGTTTTGAAAAAGATGAAGTCAAACTGACCTCATAATTTTCATAGCTTAAATGAAAGAGCGCTTTACCTCAAATCCTGTATCTATCCCTAAGGATGAACACAAGAATTGAGGGTGAGGCTTGTCGGCACTATTTTTGGTGTGGGGTTTGCCCGTAAGAAGCTGTCGGTCATTGGAATTGAAATCCCGTTGCCCGCTTCGGAAGGACGTTTTTTTTTTAAAAAAAAAAATCTAGTTTTGAAAAAGATGAAGTCAAACTGACCCCATAATTTTCATAATTTAAATAGAAGAGCACTTTACCTCAAATTCTGTATCTATCCCAAAGGATGAATACAAGAATTGAGGGTGAGGCTCGATCAAATAAACTAGAGAAAGTCATGACATCCGTTTGATCTGCGGAACCAATATATTGGCCGACAAATTCCCCTATTTAATATAAGGAATTAAATAGGGTTTATATTATGCTGGGTTCGGGAAAAGCTTCCTATAGGGGCAAGCCCCTATAGTTAATTACATCTTAGATAACTGAAGTTACCTAAGAATACTCTCGATAGAAATCAAGGAAAAATTATCTTCAAGGA